TCAAGCCATCTTCATGTCAATGTTTCCAAATGTTGGTAGATGTCCATCTTCCCATTATCAGTCTTGATCTTAAGTTTGCTCACGATTCTGATATACAGTTTTTAGCTTTTAAGGAGAAAAAATGTAACTTCAAAGTACTATGGTTTCTTTGCTCAACTCAAATGTACCTTTTAGATATATAAGAAGATGGGATTGCAAGACCCTGGGAAGAGTCTTGGTAAGGAAAAAACTGGGTCAATTCAATTGTGATTAGATTACTCGCTCACGCTACCTTGTTTCCAAACTCTTTCCAACTCCAGCCACCCATTAGGGATGTATTCTCCTTTATTGATACTCGCCAGCATCTGAAGAAAATTCAGACAGAGTTAAAAACTCTTTAAAACACATAACTAACAGTCGACATAAGAAATTAAAGGACTCCTTGAGATTGCTTAAAAATAAAATCTTTTAAAAAAAAGGAGGGAACCTTGCTGGAGTCTTGACCTCAGAGTTGTAAATTCAGTCCCATGTGTAGCAAAAATACTACAAAATAAAGTCTTCGAGTGGTGCCTTGATTGTGCAGTTGGTTGAATGTCCCACTCTTGAACTGGCTCAGGTCATGATCTCATGGTTTTGTGGGTTTATGCTGTGTGGCTAATGCTGATGGTGCCGTTAATTAAATTCTGTATCCCCTTTCTCTGCCCCTCCCTGCTTATGCTCTTTTCTCTCTAAAAAAAAAAAAAAAAAAAAAAAGAAACTCTTTAGTAACGTATTTAATTTTATTTTAAATAATTTTATTTTTATTTTTTAATGTTACTATTTTTTTTGAGAGTTGCAATGCAGCAGGGGAGGGGCAGAGAGGGAGGAGATCAGAATCTGGAAACAGGCTCAGACTCTGAGCTGTCAGCAGAGCCATCTGACCAGAGACTTCAACTTCTGAACTGTCGACCATGACCTTAGCGCAAAGTGGAATGGCTCCAACTGAGCTATCCAGAGTGTGTCCCTATTTAAAGATGATCTTTGGTAAAGGTACCCCAAGGATAGGGAGCAAGATTATAAGAACTTATAAAGGAATATAATATAAAAGCTTCAATCATAAAAAATTAGTAGTTTTAATCTAAGGTAAAAAACCAAATACTACTTGACAATACAGCTTATTAGTTATTATTTCATGAATGACTTTTCTGACTTTTAATGAGGAAATTCAACTGTGATTTTCTTATATTGAAACTCACCACCTGTATGGAGCCAGTACTTAAACTTATGCCCCCCATGAAGGTTACATGCTATGAACATGTTACATTCTCCATGTTTTAATTATTTATTATATTGCTGTTCTGTTAAGCAATTTAAACTTCTAATCTTCCACTTTTAAAATTCAAATTGAAGGAACTAGGGAATAAAGAAATAAAAGCTATGACTGCTACTCCTTATACCTCTCCACTCTTCCATGGTCTTTTACTCATATTATCTTTGAACTTTATCTCTACCATCAGTACACTGAAAGCTTCTCAACATTTTTTATTTTATTTTTTTTTAATTTTTTTTCAACATTTATTTATTTTTTGGGAAGAGAGACAGAAGCATGAGACGAGGGAGGGGCAGAGAGGAGAGACACAGAATCGGAAACAGGCTCCAGGCTCTGACCTATCAGCCCAGAACCTGTGGGCCTCAACGTCCGGGACCAGAGATCGTGACCTGGCTGAAGTTGACGACTTAACCGACCAAGCCACCCAGCGCTCTCAGCATTTAATTCCACCAAGCAATGTCCCATGTTCCACACTGTAACTTCTATTTGCCTCTGTGGTTATACTTCATAGGGCATTCCCTTGCTTTCCTATTTTTTTCCTAGAAATTCTTTCACCTTCTAAAACCAGTTCAAACAACTCATTCTAGAAGTCTTTTCTAGACTTCGTCACTCAATCACCTTTCTCCACATTCCACAGCACACTCACCACTTTATTTCTTCCATGTTTCTCTATCACTACATTATTCTTTCTGAGGGCAGGGTCTAAGACGTAGCACGGTATTAGCTAGAGACAAAACACTAAACATAAAGAATCCTGAAACAACACTAAAGCGCTGCCACTTCACACTCCATCATCAGAAAAAATTAAAGTGTTATCTTAGGTCTTCATGTGTATTGACTACCTATCTGTGTAATATCTAATAGCCTAAGTTAAAGGACCTGCAAAAACTTCAAAACCTACGTTAAAGAGCTAAGGAGCAATATCCATATTCTCATGATTCTGAGTTTTGTGATTCAAAGAAGTTAAAGCTATTTATGTAACTTTATAGAACATAAAAAAGGGATCATGTATTATAAAGCAATTAGAGACATTCTAAAACAAATTACTACTATGCAAGTTCTAAAAAAATAAATATCACAGAGGTTGAAACTAAAATAACGGGTTAACAAATTAAAAAGGAGTTATATTAATGGGTCTATGAATTCCAAGTATTTGTGTATGTGGTACAATGGTAACCTTTTTTAAGTAGTTTAACATTCAACTTCAGATTTTGATAAGTTTGTTTTAACCAACCCATATAGAATTAACAGTGTAGAAAAACATCTATAGGTGTTTTTCCTCTATTTAAAAAGACTTTTATTCAGAGCTAAAGCTTCCAGTTATGAATAGTAAGTCAAGATAAAACAGACAACTGTATGAATATAATCAATGATACCTTGAATGTTGTATGGTAACAGATGGTAGCTACATTTGCTGGGGCATAGCACTAATCACACAGGTGATGAATTACTTCATTGTACACGTATATTCAATATTTTAGAACAAGCACTAAAAAAAGAACTACATTCAATTAA